CCAGGGATTGAAAGGGACCAAGCAAGGGAGGTGAAGAAAGAAGGAGGAAGGGAAGTGAGGCAGCAGGCAAGCAGCACCAAGTTGCTGTGTAAGCAGGTGAGTTGTGTTGAGGTTCCTCAGGCAGGCACTGAGGACTTGGAGGGCTCCAGACAGAGCAGACCTGGGAAGGCCCTCGGTGAAGCCCCTTGGAAACCTTCTAAGGGTAGGTGTGTATGGTGATAAGTGTTGGGATTGTCCTGAATGTGGAACAGGAATGCACGGAAGGAAAATAAATCCTCTCCTAATGCTGCCATATCAGCTGCACTGGAGACACCTGTGTGTGCCCTTTGGGAGCTGATTGTCAAGGCACCCGGTGGGCTGGGATAATTCAATATCATAGAAATAAAAGATTGCCTGGCTTATACAAGTTGTAAATTGAGTCTTAGAGGCTCCTTTGAAGAGCTGATTTCAGGCAGCAGAATTGCCCCCCAGGAGGGACTCTGTGCCTGCTCTCCCGTGGCTCCAAGGGATCTCTGGCCCTTCACGCCGGCACCGAGATTTTCTCGGGAAGGGCCTCAGATCCCCGGACCAGTCTGGGACACAGGCAAGATCCCCCTGCATTTTGGGACCAAATTGGCCCCCTGGAGGGACAGTGCTGTTGGTGCCCCCCGGGTTGGGGCACCCCGAGGACTCCAGCGCGCACCGAAAGGATTATTCGGGGAGATCCTCGGGGTGCCCGGCCCTGGGGAGCTCAAAGCAAGGTCCCTGCAATGGATTCAGGCATTGCTGAGAGTATCCCAGGTGTAGCTGTCCATGCTAGACATGGAGCTCTCTAATGGACTGTAATTGGGTTCTAAAAGTGGTGCTCCAACTGCAAAGGAAGTGTGGGATTGGGATTAAGAAATGAGCAGTGATGGTCCAATTGGCTGTTTTCTCTGGAATGTGACTGTGAGAGCTGCAGGAGTGCCAGGTGTGTGTTCCAGTCCCCAGCATTTGGTTTGCACATGTCCTGGTCAGACACAGGTCCAACTTCCTCAGTCCTTAACCCAAGAGAAGGAGAATTAAGGACTGGCAGTGTTAAGGTGATTGATGTGACAGGGGTTAAACTGGGAAAACATTGGGTGATTCCTCACTTTGTCTATTTACCAAACTCACCAAAATCTCTGCTAGGAAGGGATTGACTGGAAAAGTTGAGGCAGAAATGCAATTGAAAACTGGGGCTATTGAAAATGTAATTGCTGAAACTAAATGTGTCCAAGCAGCAGCTCTTGTTGTGCAGGGAATAACTCCTGTCAGCAGCAAGGCCCCCACTGAAGTGGCAGCTGCAGTTGTTCCTGTGGTGTGGGCCAGTGGAGCTGCAGGAGAGTGGAAGAGGGCAGAACCTGTAGGTATTACCCCTGATGTGGGATCTCTATGGGTAAGGCCAACCCAGTATCCTTTAAAATCAGAATGCCAGACTGGATTGGTTGCAGGAACAGCTAAATTGGCTCCTCCTGGTTTGCTTGTAGGACGTGAATGCAAGAACCTGCCAAGAAAACCAGTGGACAAGATGATTGATTAGTGCAGGACCTGAGAGAAGCACCTTGAATGACAACCTGGAGGAGTTTCCAGTATTGGATTTAAAAGATGGCCTTTGCTGCATCTCCTTGAGCAAGGAAAGCCAAGAAACCTTTGCCTTTGAAGAAGAAAATCCAAAAACAGGACGGAAGAAAAGAAGCCCCCTGATTCCTCCCTGAGCCCCAGACAGCCCATGAATTGCCTTGCTGGGAATAGAAGGACAGGATGGACTCTGGATTGCTCCCTCTGCATGTGTGGTAGGACTGTTATACAAACTTGGCCAACAGCCTGTAAAAATTTGCTGCCTTGGATAGGTGGTGCACGGGCAGCCTTTAAGCAGCTAAAGCATTCCCTGAGGAGAGCTCTGGGTCTGCCAGATCTCTCAGAACTGTTGGAAGCATCTTTGGTGGGGAGGGCAAACAAAGGACAAGGTGTGCAGTGACCCCCCAACAAGGGACTTTGAGTTAATGGCATCCCTGCAAGTGAACTTTGTGGGCTGTTCCCCCTGTAGGGCAGGTGATAGTCCCAGCTCCAGTGATGGGAAAAATGGGTAAAAGGGAGCCCCAAAAGCTGGAAATCCTCCTGGAGGCTCTTGGCAAAGAGGGTTTCCTGAGTTGCCCCTGAAAGAAGGATAGTGACAGCTTTTGAGTGCTGGTAGATGCTTTTAATAGATAGCCTTGAGTGTGTCCTTGTTGCACCATTAGGCTTTGTCCAAGTCCCCATATTCCAGGAGATATACCTATTGAAGTTTAAAATGATCTCCATAATCCTTTGTTGGCTTGAGGCTCTCCCCTCAGGAACTGCAGGAACTCCTGGTGCCGCCTGGGCCGATGGATTGGACGCCCCAGCCCCTCCGTTCCTGCCCGGCCACTGGGGCCGTGTCCAGTGGTGGCACTGCCAGCCCTGCAGGTGAAGTGGGAAGGGCCTTTGCAGGTCTTGTGGGTCACATTTATAGCAGGTAAAGTTGCAGTAAAAGGACCTGGGGTCTGTTATTCTTGAGTTCAGAAAGCTCCTTTTGATTGGTGAGCAGGACAAAGTGGATCCTTAAGAGTTCCCATCCGTGTTTGTGTCTCAGCCTGTGTTAGGATTCAGGGCTGTAGCTGTTGTTGTCACTGAGGAGTCAAACTGTGCTTTAAATAATGAGACCCTGGCCTGATGGCCCAGTGTCAAGGCAAAAGGTGGAATGCTCTCTGAGTGTTGAGATGTAACAAGGGCTAATCCTTTTTGCAGTGGGATGGAGCCTGGAAAGTGCACAGAGCTGAGCCCAGGGATTGAAAGGGACCAAGCAAGGGAGGTGAAGAAAGAAGGAAGAAGGGAAGTGAGGCAGCAGGCAAGCAGCACCAAGTTGCTGTGTAAGCAGGTGAGTTGTGTTGAGGTTCCTCAGGCAGGCACTGAGGACTTGGAGGGCTCCAGACAGAGCAGACCTGGGAAGGCCCTCGGTGAAGCCCCTTGGAAACCTTCTAAGGGTAGGTGTGTATGGTGATAAGTGTTGGGATTGTCCTGAATGTGGAACAGGAATGCAAGGAAGGAAAATAAATCCTCTCCTAATGCTGCCATATCAGCTGCACTGGAGACACCTGTGTGTGCCCTTTGGGAGCTGATTGTCAAGGCACCCGGTGGGCTGGGATAATTCAATATCATAGAAATAAAAGATTGCCTGGCTTATACAAGTTGTAAATTGAGTCTTAGAGGCTCCTTTGAAGAGCTGATTTCAGGCAGCAGAATTGCCCCCCAGGAGGGACTCTGTGCCTGCTCTCCCGTGGCTCCAAGGGATCTCTGGCCCTTCACGCCGGCACCGAGATTTTCTCGGGAAGGGCCTCAGATCTCCGGACCAGTCTGGGACACAGGCAAGATCCCCCTGCAGTTTAGGACCAAATTGGCCCCCTGGAGGGACAGTGCTGTTGGTGCCCCCCGGGTTGGGGCACCCCGAGGACTCCAGCGCGCACCGAAAGGATTATTCGGGGAGATCCTCGGGGTGCCCGGCCCTGGGGAGCTCAAAGCAAGGTCCCTGCCATGGATTCAGGCAGTGCTGAGAGTATCCCAGGGGTCCCTGTCCCTGCTAGACAGGGAGCTCTCTAATGGGCTGTAATTGGGTTCGAAAAGTGGTGCTCCAAGTGCCAAACAAGTGTGGGATTGGGATTAAGAAATGAGCAGTGAGGGTGCAATTGGCTGTTTGCTCTGGAATGTGACTGTGAGAGCTGCAGGAGTGCCAGGTGTGTGCTCCAGTCCCCAGCATTTGGTTTGCACATGTCCTGCTCAGACACAGGTCCAACTTCCTCAGTCCTTAACCCAAGAGAGGGAGAATTATGGACTGGCAGTGTTAAGGTGATTGGTGTGACAGGGGTCAAACTGGGAAAACACTGGGGAATTCCTGAGTTTGTCTCTTTGCCAAACTCACCCAAACCTGTGCTAGGAAGAGATTGATTGGGAAAGCTGAGGCAGAAATTAAATTGAAAACTGGGTCTATTGAAACTGTAATTGCTGAAACTAAATGTGTCCAAGCAGCAGCTCTTGTTGTGCAGGGAATAACTCCTGTCAGCAGCAAGGCCCCCACTGAAGTGGCAGCTGCAGTTGTTCCTGTGGTGTGGGCCAGTGGAGCTGCAGGAGAGTGGAAGAGGGCAGAACCTGTAGGTATTACCCCTGATGTGGGATCTCTCCTGGTAAGTCCAACCCAGTATCCTTTAAAATCAGAATGCCAGACTGGATTGGTTGCAGAAACAGCTGAATTTGCTCCTCCTGGTTTGCTTGTAGGATGTGAATGCAAGAACCTGCCAAGAAAAGCAATGGCCAAGGGGATTGATTAGTGCAGGACCTGAGAGAAGCACCTGAAATGACAACCTGGAGTACTTTCCAGTATTGGGTTTAAAAGAGGGTCTTTGCTGCATCTCCTTGATCAAGGAAAGCCAAGAAACCTTTGCTTTTGCAAGAGGAAATCTGGAAAGCGGGCAGGAAGAAGAGAAGCCCCGTGACTCCTCCCTGAGCCCCAGACAGCCCATGAACTGCCTTGCTGGGAATGGTGGGACGGGCTGGACTCTGCATTGTTCCTTCTGGATGTGTGGTAAGACTGTTATGGCAACTTTTCCTACCGCCTGTAAGAATTTGCTGCCTTGGCTAGATGCTGCAAGGGCCGAAGCAGCTGAAGCCTTCCCTGAGGAGAGCTCTGGGTCTGCCAGATGTGTCAGAACTGTTGGAAGCATCTTTGGTGGGGAGGGCAAACAAAGGCTAAGGTGTGCAGTGACCCCCTGAGAAGGGACTTTGAGTTAATGGCATCCCTGATGGTGAACTTTGTGGGCTGTTCCCCCTGTAGGGCAGGTGATAGTCCCAGCTGCAGTGATGTGAAGAACAGTTAAAAAAGAGCCCCAAAAGCTGGAAATCCTCCTGGAGGCTCTTGGCAAAGAGAGTTTGCTGAGTTCCCCCTGACAGAAGGACAGTGATAGCTTTTGAGTGCTGGTAGATCCTTTGAGTAGATAGCCTTGAGTGTGTCCTTGTTGCCCCAGTAGGCCTTGTCCACCTCCCCATCTTCCAGGAGATACACAAATTAAAGTTTCAAATGCTCTCCCTAACCCTTTGTTGGCTTGAGGCTCTCCCCTCAGGAACTGCAGGAACTCCTGGTGCCGCCTGGGCCGATGGATTGGACGCCCCAGCCCCTCCGTTCCTGCCCAGCCACTGGGGCCGTGTCCAGTGGTGGCACTGCCAGCCCTGCAGGTGAAGTGGGAAGGGCCTTTGCAGGTCTGGTGGGTCACATTTACAGCAGGTAAAGTTGCAGAAAAAGGACCTGGGGTCTGTTATTCTTGAGTTCAGAAAGCTCCTTTTGGTTGGTGAGCAGGACAAAGTGGATCCTTAAGAGTTCCCATCCGTGTTTGTGTCTCAGCCTGTGTTAGGATTCAGGGCTGTAGCTGTTGTTGTCACTGAGGAGTCAAACTGTGCTTTAAATAATGAGACCCTGGCCTGATGGCCCAGTGTCAAGGCAAAAGGGGGAATGCTCTCTGAGTGTTGAGATGTAACAAGGGCTAATCCTTTTTGCAGTGGGATGGAGCCTGGAAAGTGCACAGAGCTGAGCCCAGGGATTGAAAGGGACCAAGCAAGGGAGGTGAAGAAAGAAGGAAGAAGGGAAGTGAGGCAGCAGGCAAGCAGCACCAAGTTGCTGTGTAAGCAGGTGAGTTGTGTTGAGGTTCCTCAGGCAGGCACTGAGGACTTGGAGGGCTCCAGACAGAGCAGACCTGGGAAGGCCCTCGGTGAAGCCCCTCAGAAACCTGAAGCCCCTGGGCCTTTTGGGGAGCCTGAGCTATTGCAGCCCTGGGGATGGCTTTGGTTTCCTTCTCTCCTCAGAGTAAAACTCTGTGGGGGAGTCTGTGATCTCCCTGACTTTTGTGTCATAACTGAAACTTGGAAGGAAGTTGACCTTGTGTCGTTTCCCAACTGACTTGGCCGGGTTGAACCAGCAGTGCCAGATTGTTGTAGTGTGCAGGGTGTTGTTTGTGTCTGAGCAGTTTGGGGTTGATTTGCCAAGGGGAGCCATGGAATGTTATGGTGTTTTTGTCCCAATATTTGGAGGCAGTGCCCTGGATGAGTTGATTTCTGCCTCACTCCCTGATATCTGAGTTAGGAGATGTACCAAGAACTGGTAGTTTTTGCAGTGGGATGTTCCCTAGAAAGTGCATGGAGCTGAGCCAAGGAACTTAAAGGGACTGAGCAAGCAAAGTCAAGAAAGAATGAAGAAGGGAACTGAGGCAGCAGCCAAGCAGCACCAAGCTCCTCTACAACCAGGTGAGTTGTCTTGAAGTTGATAAGGTGGTCACTGAGAACTTTGGGGTCTGCAGGCACAGGTGACCACCAGAGACCCCCAATGGAGCCCCTCAGAGAACTTATAAGGGTTTGTGTAGATGGGAACAGGTGTTGGGAGTGTCCTGAATGTGCAACAGGAATGCAGGGAAGGAAAATGACCCCTCCTGTCATGCTGACCCCTCCCATCAGCTGCAGTGGAGACCCCTCCGTGTGCCCTTTGGGAGCGGATTGCCAGGACCCCCGTGGGGCTGGGATCATGGCAGGGTGTTGTAAGCAAGGAATGCCTGGCTTCTAAAAGTCACCAGCTGAGTCTTAGAGGCTCCTTTGAAGAGCTGAGTTCAGGCAGGCAAATTGCCCCCCAGGAGGGACTCTGTGCCTGCTCTCCCGTGGCTCCAAGGGATCTCTGGCCCTTCACGCCGGCACCGAGATTTTCTCGGGAAGGGCCTCAGATCCCCGGACCAGTCTGGGACACAGGCAAGATCCCCCTGCAGTTTAGGACCAAATTGGCCCCTGGAGGGACAGTGCTGTTGGTGCCCCCCGGGTTGGGGCACCCCGAGGACTCCAGCGCGCACCGAAAGGATTATTCGGGGAGATCCTCGGGGTGCCCGGCCCTGGGGAGCTCAAAGCAAGGTCCCTGCCATGGATTCAGGCATTGCTGAGAGTATCCCAGGGGTCCCTGTCCCTGCTAGACAGGGAGCTCTCTAATGGGCTGTAATTGGGTTCTAAAAGTGGTGCTCCAAGTGCCAAAGAAGTGTGGGATTGGGATTAAGAAATGAGCAGTGAGGGTGCAATTGGCTGTTTTCTCTGGAATGTGACTGTGAGAGCTGCAGGAGTGCCAGGTGTGTGTTCCAGTCCCCAGCATTTGGTTTGCACATGTCCTGCTCAGACACAGGTCCAACTTGCTCAGTCCTTAACCCAAGAGAGGGAGAATGAAGGACTGGCAGTGTTAAGGTGATTGGTGTGACAGGGGTCAAACTGGGAAAACACTGGGGAATTCCTGAGTTTGTCTCTTTGCCAAACTCACCCAAACCTCTGCTAGGAAGAGATGGACTGGAAAAGTTGAGGCAGAAATTAAATTGAAAACTGGGTCTATTGAAACTGTAATTGCTGAAACTAAATGTGTCCAAGCAGCAGCTCTTGTTGTGCAGGGAATAACTCCTGTCAGCAGCAAGGCCCCCACTGAAGTGGCAGCTGCAGTTGTTCCTGTGGTGTGGGCCAGTGGAGCTGCAGGAGAGTGGAAGAGGGCAGAACCTGTAGGTGTTACCCCTGATGTGGGATCTCTATGGGTAAGTCCAACCCAGTATCCTTTAAAATCAGAATGCCAGACTGGATTGGTTGCAGGAACAGCTGAATTTGCTCCTCCTGGTTTGCTTGTAGGACGTGAATGCAAGAACCTGCCAAGAAAAGCAATGGCCAAGGGGATTGATTAGTGCAGGACCTGAGAGAACCCCCTGAAATGACAACCTGGAGTAGTTTCCAGTATTGGATTGAGAAGATGACCTTTGCTGCCTCTCCTTGATCAAAGAAAGCCAAGAAACCTTTGCTTTTGCAGGAGATAATCTGGAAATCGGGCAGGAAGAAGAGAAGCCCCGTGACTCCTCCCTGAGCCCCAGACAGCCCATGAACTGCCTTGCTGGGAATGGTGGGACGGGCTGGACTCTGCATTGCTCCCTCGGGATGTGTGGTAAGACTGTTATGGCAACTTTTTGAATAGATGGTGCAAGGGCAGCCTTTAAGCAGCTGAAGCATTCCCTGAGGAGAGCTCTGGGTCTGCCAGATGTGTCAGAACTGTTGGAAGCATCTTTGGTGGGGAGGGCAAACAAAGGCCAAGGTGTGCAGTGACCCCCCTGAGAAGGGACTTTCAGTTAATGGCATCCCTGATGGTGAACTTTGTGGGCTGTTCCCCCTGTAGGGCAGGTGATAGTCCCAGCTACAGTGATGGGAAAAATGGTTAAAAGGGAGCCCCAAAAGCTGGAAGTCCTCCTGGAGGCTCCTGGCAAAGAGAGTTTGCTGCGTTCCCCCTGACAGAAGGACAGTGATAGCTTTTGAGTGCTGGTAGATCCTTTGAATAGACAGCCTTGAGTGTGTCCTTGTTGCCCCAGTGGGCCTTGTCCACCTCCCCATCTTCCAGGAGATACACAAATTAAAGTTTCAAATGCTCTCCCTAACCCTTTGCTGGCTTGAGGCTCTCCCCTCAGGAAC